ATATTTGTATCGTGTCTAAAATACACTAAAAGGAAAACTAAGCAGGAAAAGTTTGGGCAGTGCTGGCAGAAGGGGTGGGCTGGTGACAGGGAGCATAGAAAGGCTAAGTTACCAATCCATTGTATGTGGTATTCTCCTTCTCAATATACTCCAATAAGATTTTTCTCTGGTATCCACATCCTTTAATGAAGAGTGGACAGAAAGGCTCTTTTGATTCCATAAATTAGACATTTATCAATCAATATGTAATTCATTTTGGGGATCTTAGTCCAGAAAACATTTTAAAGTTTTCATTATAGAAACAGAATAAGTGAAAAATTAAAACTATATTGAAACTTCATTAGAAAACTGGGCTAGGTCATTATATTTATAGATTTTGGTCTACAAAATTTTTCAGGCCTAAACACAATTTTGCATGCATTTTTCCTGAATAATAATAACCTACTAACAATCATTTATTTAGCATCTACTGTTCTGGGAATGGGGAAAGGAACAAGGGATATATTTATATCCTTTAGAGAGGTTCATAGTGAACCTGTGAAACCACACTTAGAGAAAATAAACTTTACTTCAGTGAGCATCTAATAAAAACAAACTAGATAAGAAATCTTCATCTTTAAAAAGAATGAGTGTTCATGTCGGCTTTACTGAATACTTAATACTCCATTCTGGATTTTGCTTACATGATTTTTACTGGTTAATCAGATATGGAAAAAAAATCATTTTTTTTTTCCTGGCAACTCCGTCTTTGATGAAAAGAAATGGCAAAAGGTCCTTTTGTCTTTAGCTTAAAAACATGTAACTGATCTTTAAGTAAGCTGGAATAATTTTAAAGTTTCAATAAACAATTAAGCAAAAATAACAATTCAGCAATATATCAATAAAGTTTTAAATTTTTTTTTCTTGAAAGTGTATTATATGGAAATTGCACATTTGAATTTATATTCAAAGTCAAGATGAGCAAACATTAAGATGTATCTAGTAATACTGATGGTTAGTGATTGTGTGCTTTCCTACTCTCACTTTCTCTTGTTCCCTCTAGTACCCTAAATTTTGACTCAACTAGAAAAAACAATACGTGAAATAATACTATTATGGAGAATCTTTTAACAAAAAGCTATGCAAAGGAAAAGTGCTACAATGTTGCATTATGATGCATCGTCATTTTTAACATTTGCATGACCTTGAGTCATCCAACACTACTTGCAGATAATCAGTTTCCCACAAGGAAATGAAGTGGATTTCAGTGTAAAATTCTGCATTTCTAAATTGATATACTTAAGCAAACTTTAGTCACCTCATAAATCTTAAGACACAAAGCACCCCACATCTTATGCCTTTGTACTTTAAATCTGCGTTCTTATACACAGTAGCTTTATGTGTCAAATTGTGGTTCATAACTTTTAAGAGAAACAGATTGTCTAACAATATTCATTTGGCTATAACTAAATAAAAGTTAAGAAATTCAACAAAATGGTAAATGTTTGCAAAATTTCAATTGAGCAAAACTTTTTACCTAGTAGCCTTTATAAATGGAATCCCAAATTAAAGCATGCGTAATTTTTCAGATTTTGAAGCTAAATTCAGATATGTACTGTGGCATAAAAAGATGGCTTAAAAACTATATTTTGTTTTAGAAACAAACAATTCCTTAATACACAAAACAACACTGCTACATACAAAAAAACTTAGTCAAATTTTCCATATTGTAGAGAAATATATTTTATAACTATGTGAATTAAGATTACAAATGTGTTAACTTCTATTAGCTGATACAAAGCATCTAGCCATGAAAAGAAAAATTTCTTTTCTTTCTTCAAAAGAAACAGAGTATTTCAATCTCTATAAATATTTGTATACAAACATTGACAATAATGTGTCTTTGAAATAAGCCGTGATTCAAGGATTGCCTTTATGATAAATGAAATTTCTATTGCCACTGGTTGAAAATGTGTTCATGTAAATCTTCAAATTAAAATGTTAATTACCAAAATTTTTTTCTGTGCAACTGGATTTAACTTATCATGATATAGGTGAAACCATTTTAAAATTGGGAAAATCCCCCAGAACAATATGTGTTTTTGTTTACAAGGCTACCTCAAACTATATTTCAGAATGAATGTGACAAGTGATAAGGACAACAAAAAAGAAAAAGGAGAGAGAGAGAGAGAGAGGGAGGAAGGAAGGGAAGGGGTTGGGGAGAAACATCATATAAAATCAGGTCACTTGAAATTCAATACTCTACACTAAGGTATTATACGTACATGTCCTGTCCTTCCATAACACTTCAAAACATTTTCACACCCAATGCACATATCTTCTTTAATATAACCCCCTAAGAGCATTTTTTTTTGTAGTTGGTATTTTAAAAAGTAGAGGTAACTAATATGCTCTTAATGGAGGAAAATCACAAAATAACTTTGCCAAAACAATCTGATGGAATCATTAACACAAGAAGAATAGCTTAGTATAGGTAACTTTCAAAAGTATGGTAGCAAAACTCATTTTCAATGAAATTTTAATTGGTATTATCTACTTTAATTGGTATCTTCTATTTCCCTGATGAAAGAAATTACATTATTTTATTCCTTCCTTATTCGACAAAATCACATCTCTCGATTACAAATTAAAATCAGTTTAAATGACCATGCTGTTCCCCAGTTTTTGACATACCTTCCAAACAAGTTTCAAAACAACTGGTACTAGCAAACACATCACTGTACTTTAAACAGTGTTTCTATCCACGTTTCAGGAAGGTTAAAACACACGTGCATGAATGCACACATACACAGAGGCACTGTCACAGTGGATGACAGATTTTAAGTGAGTTTATTAACTCTTTACAGAGATTAGGCAACACTTGCTACTAAACTAACTACAAATCAAATAAAGTCTCTATATTGCTTAATGACTCACTACCACATGACCAACAGATATGTCAGGGAGAAGGGGAAAAAAAGGCATGTGTTCCAATCTCTGCTTATCTAAAATCTGCATCTAGTCATTCCTCATTTTTCAGACATGCCTCTGAGATAATCAAGATACTCTTACAATAGGGAATTTAGATTTAATTACCAAACTTTAATACCATGTTATATAGGTCAAGTGAGGATGCGTAACTTTCCCCTGAAACAAAGGGATTTAGAGTAATAGGATTTCAGATTTCATAGCAGAAACAGCAAAATATGTTTTGAGAATGTCATTTACTGTAACACAAATCAATATTAAATGCTTTATGCAGGAAGCACACTTTCAGAAAATGGGCCCTAAAGCTTTCTGGGATCTGACCCTAATTACTAGAGCAGTCTCTTGCTGTTTGTCTCTCTCTTCAATTATTTACAGGGCAAAAAAGCCAAATGGCATTGCGTTAGCTGTATTAAATGTTATGTACTTGGTTTCTAACTTACTAATGGTACATAAAAATTACTAAGGTAAATGTGCCCATAGAACGCAGCTATTTTTCTTCTTCTTCACCTGAGAGTATGTATTTATTATTCATAGGTTAAGTGTTGAATATGCTGTCCTTTAGGCACCCAATGCTGCATAATTTAAACAAGGGCATTAAATATATAACACCTCTAAAAGGTAGCACAACGATTACACTACAGAATTTCTTTGAACAGCTACAATGTTGCTCACAAAAATCTAGCATCTCTCTCAAGTTCCAGAAAACAATCATGTGAGAGCCACACAGAAAATGAGTAATAAGTATCCTTGCAGCTACCATCTTGCTGCTCTCCGGTGACCCAATGCAAGATGAAAATTGGGAGGGAGTGACAGTGAGGCCCTTGGGTGTGAAAGAAATGTCTGGACTCGAGGCTGACAAGTGTCCTTTTTACCTGGACATAGCTATGTTGTGGTTACATGACAACATGGACCACACACGTTGTGAGAAAGCAAAGCTTATTAAGGCTCAGTCAGAGATTCTTAACACAGGCCAGAAACGCCAACAAGCAGAGCATGGTTGCAACCTCCCACCAAAGCTCAGACTACATCCACACCTGATTCTTTTGTGATCTATCAGGGCACGGAGAGTAGTGCTAGTCCTTAATGGCTGAAGGCGGCTGGTGCCTCCAACTTCTACCAAATTGTGGCAGAAGCTTCCAAAACAGCGAAATTTCCACTCTTCTTGGTCCCCAATATGTTTTTCAAATGAGTTCAGGAGACATCAATCTATGGTGAGGATAAGGTGGGCCTACTCCCTAGAAGGACAGTCACAATCTGTCTGACTACATGTCATCAGCCATCATTACCTAAGAGGATGCCAAGGCCACTTTAGAGAAAGCACCATTGGAAATCGATCTGTGGTAAACATGTAAGATAGTTTTTTTAAAAAACAGAAAGAAAAAAGAAAAAGCAACAGAAGAGCGACTAAACACAAAGTCACTTCTTTCGGTGCACTTAAATTTGCCCATTGTCCCTCCTTTGCGAAAGCTACGGAGAAGTAAAAGAGACCTCAATGAATGCTGAGTGAACTTTGGCCACTTTTCTACCCAAAACACCAGAGTAAAAGTAGAAATCAGTAACCAGGTGAAGTGCCACACCACGCAGAGACCAGAGGCGAGGGGCAGGCGCGCAGGGCCTGAGGCGGGAGGAAAATGTCCCGCCGCCCCACCCGAGCCCCAGTCCGGGCGCGGGAGGTGGGGGC